CACTAGATGGCAGAACACAGCCTTCTTCTGCCTTCCCACAACAGTAGGTAAACCCAAATATTTCACATGATACTCCACTACTTGCATCCCCATCACGCTTGTTAATTCCTGTCTCAAAACATCATCCACATTCAGGCTGAATGATAATTCAGATTTGACAAGATTGACCTTCTGCCCCGAACCCTCTTCATAAAGGTTGAGAATATTTCGTAGTTCTTGACATTCTTCCCTTGTTGCCTTTGAGAACAACACACTGTCATCAGCGAATAGTAGGTGTGATATAGGTGGTGCTTTCCCTTTAACTCGTATGCCTTCAATCTTTTTTTCCCTCTCTGGCTTTGAAAGTAGAGCAGATAATCCTTCCGCCACAAAGAGAAATAAATAGGGTGATATGGGGTCCCCTTGTCGAATTCCTCTTGTCGGTAAAAAAGTCTCTGTCTTATGGCCGTTGACCAAAATCGAGTAGGAAAATGTTGAAACACAAGTCATAATCATTGCTGTCCATATGTCATCGAACCCCAATTTCCTCATTACTGCTTCCAAAAAGGGCCACTCCACCCTATCGTATGCTTTGGAGATGTCCAGTTTAGCTGACATATACCCCTTTTTTCCTTGATTTCTTCCCTTCAATGAGTGAAAACACTCGAAGGCAATCATAACATTGTCTGTAATTAGCCTTCCCGGGATGAACGCACTTTGCTGTTCTGAGATGGCTTCATTCAATATTCCTTTAAGTCTGTTGGCAAGGACCTTGGAGAGAATTTTATATAACACCCTACACAAACTAATAGGCCGAAAATCCACTGGAGAGACCACCTCTTTCTTTTTCGGTATTAAAGCCAGCAAGGTATGATTAAGTTCCTGTGGGAAAGAACCTTGACTGAAATAGCCTTGTAGCTCTCTGGTTATATCTCCCCCAACAGTCTCCCAGTTCTTTTGAAAGAAGAGGGTCGACATTCCATCCAAACTGGGGGATTTATTTGGTCCCATTTTTTTCAAAGCAAACCAAATTTCCTCCTGTGTAATTGGTTTCAGCAAGTCTTCGTTCATTTCTTGTGTTACTTTCCTTTGGATGGCATCGATGATTCTAGTTGAGGATATTGAGTTTCCTGCAGCAAAGAGAGCTTTGTAATAGGTAACTAAACAATCAGAAACCTGTTGCTGCCCTTCTCTGTTTATCCCTGCCTCATCAATCAACTTTTGGATAGTATTTCTGTTTCTTCTGTCAGAAGCCTTCCTGTGAAAGAATTTTGAGTTTTTATCACCTCCTGTCAACCAATCAACTCTGGATCTTTGTCTCCATCTCAGTTCTTCTTGCATTAATATTTCATTCAGCTCTTTTTCAATAGCTTTCCTTTGTAAGATCACTGCAGCACCTGATTTCTTTTTCTCTAGTATTTCCAGAACTCTTTCCGCTTTTATTTTCCGTTGACGAAGGTCACCAAAAGTTTGCTTGCTCCACTCACTGAGTCTTCCCTCACAGTAGGATATTTTATCCAGTACTGAAAGTCCCCCACTTGAATTCCAGCTGTCTGCGACAACCTGTTTACAATCAACATGGTTCTGCCAGTATGGTTTGTATCTAAAGTGCCATCCCAACCTCACTTCCTCTTCCATCAGGTCTGTTTGTAACATTATTTGGGAATGATCATACCCACATCTTCTAAGATGATGTACCCTTGCGTGGGGAAAAAGTTCTTGCCAATCTGAGGTTGCCACCATCCTGTCTAATCTTTCTTCCAAATAGGTTTCATCAGTGTGGTTGTTTGCCCTGGTGAAGGGATTTCTATAGTAACCGAGGTCTTCTAGTTGGCAATAATCTAGAGCATCATTGAACATTTCCATCTCCCTTGCATCTGGCATATTCAGACCATTCTTTTTTTCATATCCCTAAATCAGGTTAAAATCACCACTCATTAACCAAGGAATAGTTGTCATATCCTTAAGCTGACGCATCAAGATACATGTACTTTCTTTGTTGCCATGTTCAGGCCATCCATAGATGCCTGTGTATCGCCATCTTGATCCCCCCTCTTCTATACATATGTCGATATGGTTAGAGGACTTGGATTTGACTGTTACATTAAGATCTTTTTGCCACAGCAGCAGTCGTCCTCCTTTCCTCCCATCTGAACCCATTCCTCTTCCTTTCTCCCAGCCCAGATCCTTCATAACATCTTTCCATTCATTTTCCTTCTTCTTAGTCTCCATTAAGAAGACTATTTGGGGATTTGAACGATAGAGCAGCTTCCCCACTCTTCTAATTGCCAGGGGAGTCCCCAACCCCGGCAATTATAACTTAAGATCCTCATTGGGCTGGGCAGCCCTGCTTCACTGAAGGGTCTGCCTCTCCGCCAACCAATTTCTCTTTTTTTTATTTTTTCCCATCTATAGCAACTCCTTCATTTGTTAACACGTCCATCTGGTCAATGTCCATATCTTTAGCATCTCATTTAGTGGCTCCTACAGTAGTAGATCCTGAGACACCAATTATCTCCCTTGCTTGTTTCTTTCTGGTCCATACTCCTGCCTTTTTGCTCAGACTCCCACCTCCTCCTGTTCCCATATTAAAAGTTGCCAGGTCTGTGGCTGCTACCAACTCTTTTCCCCCCTGTAATGTTCCTTTATTTGGTGAGGTTCATGTTCTTTGTGCTTGTTGATCATTCCAAATTTTTTCTGCAGATTCTTCGCTCTCATACGGCTCCTGTTCCTTTATGTCCTCATGTTGCTGCTCATCAGACAATCTTACAAGTTTCTCAGTGTCTGTCAAGCCTGCCACTGGTAGAACGAAAGGAGCAATCTGTTTTGTAACGACTGTTTGAATGGTGCTGCTGCTTCCTGAGACATCCCCAAACTCCTTACACAGGTCTTGCCAGAGCTTTGATTCCTTGTCTCGATCCTCTTTGGATCTACGAGGGCCCTTTGGGAGTGGTCCCGCTTTTATCCAGTGTCCATATTTGTCTTCCTTGGAGGGATCCAGTTGGTGACAGAACCTTTTTGGATGTCCAATTTTGCCACAGCAAAAGCAGAAGTTTGGCATTCATTCATATTTAGCTTCAAAATCTACATCCTTCCCTTCAATCTGCAGTCTGACCCCCTTTCTGCCATTCCTTGATTTCTATATGCTGAGGGTATATCTAGTATCCTGATCCATACTTCCATCTCATATAGCTCTTCCAATTTGGGTTTTTTGTTTAGGTCAGCTTCTTTGAAAATCAGTAGGTCACCCTCATGATGCCATGGCCCTCCATATCTGACTCTATTGCGATCGTCTTGGTCACGAAACTGAAAGGCAAAAAGCTTCTCCTCTACTTCTGTGATGGTAAAGTCTTGTTTTAGGTTCCATGCCTTTGTGAGTGCAATCTTCATCGACTTGATATTAGGGTTTCTCAAGGAGACCAGCCTCCCAATTAACCCTAGTTTTTGTACAGCTTCATCAATACCCACTGTCTTGTCACTCGCATCTATTATCAACGGTTCTTCCTCATCATCCAATGAAAACCTTTTTAACTGAATCTCTAAATCCTTCTCTGCATGTAGCGGAGGGACTTGCTCAGCCATGTTTCTTGTAGAACAAGGTACCTGCACTCTCAAGAATAGGTAGAAAAGAACACTCCCTTTCCAACTAGCGAGCAGGAGGCTAGCTAGCAAAGTCGAGACCCAAGGAAATCTGTCCTCAGAAACTCTCACTCGATCTCACTTGGACGACAAATCTTACTGAAATGGGATTAGGGTTTTCTGTAAACCTAGCCGATGTTCGCTCTCTCAAAAACTCTCGATAGAAACGAGAGAGAATCATATAATTATACTTAAAATACTATAATCGTACCAAACTTATTACCCTCTCTAGTCACTCTTGATTGGATTTTACTCGAAATGATGACTTATTTTGATCCTAATTGACATGGACCGCATCTTTTTATGTTAGTGGGCTAGTGACTAGTGTTTCTTGAAGCCCATCTGTCTTTTGAATTTTGAAGAGATGGAATGAAGAAGATGACCCGGCCCCTAGAATGAAGCAAATCCTTCCGTAGTTTCACGTCGTCGTCTTCTTCCTCTCACCCTCTTTCCTCTGTCTTTTTTCACATATCACCCCCGCCCCTTCCAAAATCATCCGTCTCAAACAAATCTCTCGCCTCTCCCTTGCTCAGTCAGCTTCGATCCGGAGGGAATCAACAGCGGCGGGGCTTACTGCGGCAGCCATGTCTCTGTTTTGAAAGGCTTAAGGTTCTGCATCTGCTGATGCTTTACGGAGACCATGAAACTAAATCTTGGAATCATTCAGTTAGCGATTTGGGCGAATAGGGAGAGGAATCCGGCGCGAAATCATCAACACTTCGGTTGGACAGGCGGAATGAATGGAAAGAACGCCGAGGATCGCTCGCCGGAGAAGTTTTCTGGCTTATGAATTGACCTGCGGGTCATAATATCGTCGGAAAGGATACTCCGGTCAAAATATCGTAAAATATCGTTGAATATCGCGATATTTTAATATATCGCGAGATCTCGTCAATATCAATTTTTCGTCAATTTCTCGCGTTTCGGTTTTGGTTTTGAGGACTCGAAACGTTTCGCGTTTCGGCCTGCCGTTCCGCGTTTCTGAGCTGTCTCGATGCGTTTCGGGCTTTCTCTGAAGCTGGTGCCGCTGGCCCATTTTTTGGCCGGGCCAGAAGAGCTATTCAATCTAGACAACATTGAATCGGCTAGGCCGAAGTGAGCAAGCCCAAACTTGAGTTGTAGGCCTGATGCCAAATTAGGGCCTGTTCGGCCGGGCCCAACTTCGGCCAACCCTGGCCCTAAAGCCGGTAAGCTGTAGAAACGTGTGGCCGAGGGGTGAAACGGCTCGAGAAACGTCGAAACGCGAAACGTTTCCTGTCCTCAAAACTAAATTCGAAACACGATAAATTGACGATAAATTGAAATTGACGGTATTTTGACGATATGACGATATCTCGCGATATTTTACGACATTTGGTTTCCCTCGATATATTGCCATCCAGGTAACGTAGATTCCCGAGAAATAGTCGAAATGAGCAGAAAAATACTGCAAAATTACATGAAAAATAGAGCGAATTACACAGAGAACTATGAACTTCCAAACTAACCTTTCGTCCTCTGCTGAAAAATTTATTTACATCGGAGAAACCAGAGAGATAGCGGAAGGAAACGTCGGAAGATCGATTCGCAGCGGATTAGAGTTGCGAGTCCGGTAAGGTGCTTCTCTCTCTGTCTCCATAAGCATAAGTGCATAACAGCAGGCGGTTGCTTTGAGATTTTCCCTTTGTGGGGGTTCATTCATTCTTCCCGCTCGCTGTTGCTGCTTTTCTGTCCTTCCTCCCATGGATTCTTGTTCCAGAGCTCCAATAAAGTTCAGATATTTGCCTGGTATTATGTCTCCCCTACTCATTCGAATCGATTCTCTGATTTCCCCAATCTCAACTGGGATCCCCCAACATCGGGGACAAATTGAAAGAGAAACTCTGGCTAGATAAGGGATTGGAAGAACAGGGGAGAAAAGAGAAATGAAAGGGAACTGTTGGGAAGAAGAAGTTAAATGAGCAATAATATTTTTTTATCAATCAACCACCATCTTTTATTTTTTTTATGGATTATGTTGATTCTCGAGTTGTTGGAAAAAGATAGTTAAGCCTTTTAATTTCTTACACGCTCTCTCAAACGAAAGTCGATGCTGAATTATGGATTTTTATGGTTTGCACTGGTTGAACTCTTGTCCTGCCAAACCACGAGGCTTTAGTTTGCACGGGTTGGACATACCATCTCTTGTGCTAAACAAATGGCTGAAAATTGGGGGTCGTCATGAGAATTCGAAACCATGACTTTTCGGTTCTAGACTCTGATATAATGTTAACGAACTAATCATTTGGTTCCAATAATTCGAGTTGTTAGGAAAGGAATAAAGTTTTTTAATCTCTTACATGCAATACAAGAAACTACATATTTTGAGACGATTTTTTTTTTTTTTTGTGACGACGAGAAATTGGTCGCAGAAAGAGCACAATTTGCGACGAGCCTATGTTGCAGCATTTTTAGAAACAGAAAACCTTCTTTGTTATTAAGGGCAGCCTTGGAAGCTACTTGATTCTCCACCTTCTTGTTCTTCTCTTCCATCAGCTTGTTCAGATCGGACTCCATCCTCTTGCTCTGTTCCAGTTCCTTCCTGCAAGCTGCCAGCTCCACGTTCTATAGTACGTACAACTTCTTTTAATTGTTGTTACTTTTTTTTTTGAATAAATTAATTGTTGTTACATTGTCTCGAATTTTTGTCCTATGAATATAGGCTTGGGGATGGTACGTTTCAAGCCATATAGTAAAAATCTAATAGCTAGTCTAGCTAGTAACCATTTTATCTAGTGTCTTATGCTTGAAATTTTGCTTACATTGTGTATTCCTCCAACTACTTTTTGGTTACGACGATTTATTGTTGAACAATGGATTTAACTTATTAGGTGATGAAGCTGAGAGGAATGCTGAGAGAGCAAGCAACGAGAAGCAAGCAAGTGTCGACGGCGGAGGTTTCCGGCGAAAGAGACAGTGGATAGCACGTCGGTGGCGATCGGCCAGACCAGCTCCGGGAGGCCGACAAGGGTGGTAGCTGGCGACCAGCATCAGATGACGGCGGAGAGCAGCTATCTTATGAGTGTGAATGAATACAACCCAGTAGTACCCTTTCCTGCTTACTGGGCTGCTCTGCCCTCTTATCATTAATTCCACAACAGAACCAATGATTAATTACTAATAGCCTATAGCAAGCAATCAGCAAGCTCATTATTCCTTCGTTCTTCGATTTAGTATGGCTACTTCAGGAATAGCAGAGGCTTAGCTTAATTAATATATAGATTCTACTTAATTAATTATGTTGTAACATCGTGAGGCGTTTAATCCGACTCATGCTTATTTACCCTATATTTGGCCCGGATTTTAGAAGTGTTTTTCGGCTTCAAAAGCTGGAATAGGGTCAAACACCTGTAAAAGTTCGGCTTTTGAAAAGTCGAAAAGCACTTTTGTATAACATAAAAGCAGAAACTCCGATTTTGAGTTTATGCGAAAAGCTGTTATGAAAATACAAGATTATCCTTACCATATTTTAATTTTATTTCAGAAAATATAATTTTTCTTTATTTATATCATTTTAAAAATAAAATAAATTATAACATCATATTATTTAATATAAAAGAAATCTAACAAGACCCATTTTGACTATTTTTTAATGTTTAAAATTTTTATTCATATTTTATATTATAAGTCATTTATAGTCATTTTATACAACCTCTCATATTAAAAAAACACTTCTAATAGTTTTACAGCCAAACACTCAACTGCGTTTTTTGAAAAGTACTTATTTAAAAGCTCCAGTCAGAAGCTGCTTATGCAAAAGATACAGCAGACCAAACTAAGCTTTATACAGCAGACCAAACTAAGCTTTAGTCTGACAACACTTCTGGTTTATTAGTGTTTCATTATTCAGTAATGTTTTCGATCAACCCACTTCTGGTTGATTAGTGTTTCATTATTCAGTAATGTTTTCGATCAACCCTCGTGAGTCGTGACAAGAGAGAAGCCAAAGCTTTTGCCGTCCAGTTGACATTCTTGTAAAGCTATTCATCAAGCATGGCCAAATACAAAGGACAGGCCATGAGCTTATGATCCAAGAGATAAATATAATTAGAGAGCTTACTTGACTCAAAATTCGAGATGGTAATAACACCAATTGAACAAAAATGGGTATTCTAGTCACCCAGACTTTTTGACAAAAACACACAAAAAATCGGACCAAGGCTGTCATCTATTCCTCTCCAACCCTCCCAAAACAGAACACTGAACAAGGCAAACAGGAAAGAGATGGTTCAACGCTTTCCACCACCACCGCCGAGCTTAGGACCCTTGCCCGGGGCATTCCTGGAAGCACCGCCCTTGGGTTGCGACTTCTGGGACTTGGTCACTTCGGCTTTCTTAGCCTTCTTTTCGTCTTTAGTCTTCTTGATCCTCTCCTTGATTTCTCTGCATTACCAAATGAACGAATTCTTAGCATAATGCTCGAAATGAAATTACCATCACCACACCACATACCACCTATTCAACATACATATCAATGAATTAGGACAGTAGTTAACCTGATAGCAGCTTCCCTGGCGGCATCACGAACTTCAGGCTTCTCTGCTCTCCTCTTCTGGATAACCTCCATGGTGGCACCAACAATGGACCTAGAGTATGGCTTCTTGGTAGCACGACGCCTCTTCTTCACTGACTCTTGGGCAATGTCCTGATTAAATTACAACAGTAGCAACAGCATAAGACACTAATGCCAGAGTGAGCTTCATAAACTAGGAATGGAGCAGAGCAAAACAAAATTAGAAAGAGCAAGAGGGCAACTCATATCCCCTGACCAACATCTAACCAATGATCTGACAGGAATACTTCTTTATCCAAGAAAAAAGAAAGGGCAAAGAAAAGAGAGAAATATCAGGTAGTAGTTTTACCTTCTTATGTTGCTTCCTAAACACTGCTGTCCATGTAAGTTTGGATGGCTTCAACCTGTTGTGGAAGTACCTCTTGCATTTCGAGTTGGCAAAGAGGAAAACCTAAACAAAATCATAAAACCAAGGATACATGCATCAGTAAGCTAATAGGACGATACTTACGGACAAGAAAGCTTCAATAGATTAATCTCAAATTTTCTCCAACTAATCACCTGAGAATCAGCACGGATAAATCTAATGCCTCTCCCTGGGTAGATCTTCTGACCACTGAACCTACAGAGCTCAGTCCTGATAGGTAAACAAAGCATTAGCTCCAGTAGTGGCAAGCAAATCTCAACAACGGCGTTTGTTTGCAGCTAGAACAGTAGAAGAACAAGGAGCTAAGAAAATCCACATTGCAGTTGGCATGACCATCCATATTTCATTGTTCATAAAAATACTAACACACGTAACATTCTGACATCAATCATATCCAATTACAACATCAGACAGTAAATATGAACTTCGGGCATTGATTTCAGACTCTCCACGTTCCATAACGGGCTAAAGACTACTACTTGTTCTAAAATTGCAACCTCTAGAGCAAGCAAAACCAAGTAAAAACGGCGTTTGTTTGCAGCTAGAACAGTAGAAGAACAAGGAGCTAAGAAAATCCACATTGCAGTTGGCATGACCATCCATATTTCATTGTTCATAAAAAATACTAACACACGTAACATTCTGACATCAATCATATCCAATTACAACATCAGACAGTAAATATGAACTTCGGGCATTGATTTCAGACTCTCCACGTTCCATAACGGGCTAAAGACTACTACTTGTTCTAAAATTGCAACCTCTAGAGCAAGCAAAACCAAGTAAAAACGGGTCCATGGCCAAGTTCTCAGCCAAATCAAATCGTCCGAGGAAATGCCGATCAAACAACACCAACCCATCGAATGCTTAGCTTCTGCCGGTTCCTACCCTGGTAACGAAATCAGAATTACGAACAAACAAGCTCCCAATGAAAGGATCAATCTTTACTTCCGAATCCGATCAAAACGAGCTCGCGGGAATAAACGATAGGAAAAGAGCTATTAAGGGATAGGATACACATATGGGGATTAGGAACAGTACTTGAGAACCATGTGACCGGCGGCTGATCTTCGTCCTGCCTTCTTCTCCTTGCCGCTGGTACTGAGAAACCCTAAAAATGAAGTTTTCCCGTAGCCGTTTTATGAACGAATGGGAAGCTTGGTAAATTCACTAAATTGCCCTTTGTGCTACTTGTTAGCCGCGGAAATGGCCTTGGTTCGTGGGCTTCATAGTGTATCTGGGCCGATCGACGGGTAAGCCCAGTATGGCCCATCGAGGTACACCAGATAGATTAACTAATTGCACACTAATTACAATAACTAGTGATGGCAATGGGGCAGGACGGGGCGGGTACCTCAATTCCCATGTTCCGCCCCACGCTATTACGGGTCGGGGCGGGTTTATGGGGCGGGGCGGGTCGACCCACTCTTACATGTCGTTCAAAAAAATACAAGTAAATTTTACTTTTTAAAGTAAACGCAGGGAAAAACACTTTAAGAATGAAAAATATTGATAATAGAATGGATAATTGAGCCTAACAAGTTGAAAGATCGACTCTAACTAGTTGAAGAAATGTCAAAATAGGAGAAATATTTACTTATATTATAAGAAAGTGAGATAATATGAGTCTAGAACGGGGCAGGGCGGGTTGGAAGTAGATACCCATGCCCCGCCCCACGCTACTGCGGGTCGGGTAATACCCGCCCCATCGCGGGTCAGGTCGGGTAATCCCCTCGGGGCGGGTTGAAATTGCCATCACTAACAATAACCACCCCGGGACAGGTTACGGTGATTACTAAGGACAAACTGGGTATAACAAAAAATTTATTATGATCTTTTTTTAATAAATTATCTTTTAGGAAATTACATAAATATATTAAATACAATTTTTATCTCTCTCTTTCTCTCACTTCCACAATTTTTCAGCCAGATCTCTCTTCCTTCTTTTTCTCAATCTTTCCTTGATTTCGTTCATCCAAACTAATACCGTTGCAACAAAAAACAATAAATCAATACCAATCCATTAAAAAATACTACCATTGTACAAAACATCAATATCATTCGAGAAATAAAAACACTACCATTTCACAAAACATCAATACCATAGCAGATATAATCACTACCAATGCGACAAAATCAATACCAATGCGGCAAAAATAATACCAATGCGGCAAAAAAATACCAATACGGCAATAACACTACCACTACGGGAAAAAATGACTCCATTTAAAAAGAATGACTACGGAAAAAATGACTACCATTTAAAAAAAAAACATACCAATCCTTAAAGATTGCTGGAGGTCTGCACGACAGCCCTACGCGCACGGGACGACGAGTCCAATCGGGGCCGACGGAGATGATGGAATAGACGGCGGAGGTTGCGTCGTTAACCATGCCGCAAGAGGAACCGACGAGTGCAGAGGAGATGACGGCAGTCAACGGGGAGGCCTGGCGCGACGTCGAGCCGAGGGAAGAGGCGGCACAGGGCTGTCGATTTGCATTGCGGAGACGAGGGTGAGCGCGACGGTGCTGGGATCGCCACCCATCCGACTGGTGGCTCGCCCGTGGCCGGAGAAAGAGGCGCAAAAGTAGGCTACGACGGATGAAGAAGGGGAGTTGGCGGCGAAGGAAGGTGGCGGCGTCGATCTCCTCTCTAAAATTAGGTCACCGCCGAGGAAGAAGCTGGCGGACAGGGAGGTGAGAGAGGGCGGTGACCCTCAGCCTCTCGCAAACCCTAAGCCATCGTCGGGGAGGGTGAGAGCTTGCGGCTACGACGGGTTTGACTGTAGAAGTAGGGTTAGGATAGAATATATAGAATAATCCAGTGTGGTCTTTTTTTTCTTCCAAAATTATCCTGAGGCAATCTTAACCGTAAGATTAAAAAAAGAGGAAAGAGAAGAAAATAAATGGTGGATACTGATGTAGCCACGGTGGCTACTAAAAATTCAGTTACCACCCTAACGCATTCCTAACCACCCCTCATAGATTGCATGGTAAGTGAATTGGGTTGCCAGTTGCCTTATTGCCGGTTGCCTTATGTCCATTACCATATCCTCCTATGTCCTAACTGTGTTTAAGAATAATATATCTATAAGATAACCATTCATGATGGCGATTTCGACATGGTTCGTTTTACCTGACTTGTTTGATCTGTTTAGGGGCAGGTCTGACCTGTCCCGTAGGCGGGGTGGGGTTGACATGAGTATTCTCATCGACCCGACCTGTCCTGACCCGCCCTATTCTCGACCCATTCTTGCCTAAATTACATGTAATCTTAATCAAATTATTTAAAATTTTCCTTTTATTACATAACATTTTAGCTATAATGAAGTTGTAAATTAGTGAAAACCTCAATTTCTCCAACAATTTAACTATATTTATCATAATACGGTTTATTTTATTGGTCTTATAATAAAATTAACGAATACTTATGATATTTTCCATATACCTGCCGGCACCCGCGCGAACCTGCCCACTACCATTCCTATAATCATTCTTTCGAAGATATACATATATATGTGGAAGGCACAAAAATCATTTGTGATGCCATGTTTCACTTTAATTATGCGCTGATGGTTCCTACATTGTTATCCACATATATGGAGATGACAAATACTCAACTCATACCTCAATAAAAAGATAAAATATTTTACATTGTTAAGAACTTAAGATCTTACATGACTCAATTAACGTATGTAATGTCATATGATCCTTTATGACATTAACCTCAATAGATTTTGAACGAATATGATAAGTTTGTATTGTTGCTTTATTCTCTTTTAGAAAAGAAAAAGAAGCAATGCAAATCTCAATTTTACATTTTCAGAAATCTACTAGAATATTGAATATACCTTTCTTCCCTTTCTTTCTTTCCATTTTGAAAATCTATCATTCATAGCCAAGTGGAGACTCTTCACCCCAAAAAAGAAGAGGGAAGTGGACTAGAAAGTAGAGACTCTCTCCATCTCCAGCACTTAACTCCAAAGCCCAAGAACATTGCCTGCCAACTCCCACCAAAATAAAGAAGAATTTATTACTGAGAAAAAGAAAATTAAATCCAACTGACAGAGGACGAGAAAATTCTCCCCCATTACGCTTTTGCTTCCGTCTCTTCCACCTGAGATCCGATTCTCCGCTCTCTCGAACCCTAAGAGACAAAAATTCCCCCCACCCCTTTCCATCTCGGCTTCCCTAAACCCAGAATTCGGGGGAACCGGTCGAATGGACGAGAAGCAGAAGCAGCGGCCCGTTGTTGAAGAAGACCAGGTGGCGGAGGAGCAAGATCGGAGCAGCGAGAGCGGCGGCGAGTACACGTCGGAGGACGAGGGGACGGAGGATTACCGGCGGGGCGGGTACCATGCGGTCCGGGTCGGCGATGCTTTCAAGAACGGGCGGTACGTGGTACAGAGCAAGCTCGGCTGGGGCCATTTCTCCACTGTCTGGCTTGGTTGGGACACTCAGAAATCGGTAAAAGCTCTTTGCTTGCCTTTGATTTTTGGTCGAAAGGTGGCTGCTTTAGTGGATGATTGTGCTGATTTATGGGTTTTGCTGGTTTCGCGGGAGTTTGGAGTTTTCCCGGGAGTTGACTCAGCATTTGTTCTTGCTAAAACTCTGTTGCCTTGTTCTTTGGATTCTGGGTTTTAACTTTTAACATGCTTATGATGAGAAGTAATTTGCATTGTGATGGATTTAATGTGTATGTTTTCTGCAACTTGTAGCAGTATACATCGAT